TTGCTTTTCTGTGTGGACCAACCAAGGTGGTAGAGGTCATAGCTTTGCAGTTGTTGCAAAGGCTTATTCATGGTCAGAGTCATTATATATATATATATGCTATCGTTATTGTTGTATGTCACTTTTTTATCTGATTATTATTAAATATGTTCTTTTTGAGATTCCGACTTTTCTTGGCAAAGGTTGAAGATTCGACACTCCACCCGACTTGGGGAGTATTGTGAACAAGACAGTGGAAACAGGGATGACTGCAGCTACCTTCACCAAAGTAGAGAGTAGGTAGAAGAGGGGAGTAGCTGCTAACTATAATGTTAGAATAATATGTTTAATTAAAAAAACGACTTGTTTCATAAATATCCATGAAAAAATTAAATTAGATGTGCTGAGTAATTAGATAATTCAGAGAATCAATATTTCCACTATTCCACACTCCGAGCGTTTCTTTTCTTACATATAACCTGAAAGTTGGTAACTATTAACGTGTCAATACATTTTTATACAAAATTTCTAGACTCGTTAATAATCTCTCTGCATAACATTTTAGCATTCCATGCTGAGTTGCCATTTTCAACATGGAACGAAAAGCTGAAAATTAAGCTGACAATTTTCTACACTGCCCAAGCAAATGACCTTAACAAAAGTCGCATAGTATATTTATTATTATAGAAAATTACAAGCTCCTATGTAAGGTGACGATGGCAATACCTCCAGCTCAAATCTTCGCATGACCGCCTCGCTGCTACTGAATATATGACAGTAACAATCTGTGAAGTCTCAAAATATTCGGCAACAGGTCCAAAAGAATGAAACTGAGACATGATGTAAATCGTTTTTCTTCATAAAAGAAAAACAAAAGTAACTAAAATGGTACGTATGCGGATAACTTCAAGCAGATATTCTTGTTAAACAGCAATGCATGAAGTCCAGCAAGAAAAAGCCGGAATCCGCGCCGTTTTCACTTGTACCGTGAACTCTGCAGAGCAGTTTCCGTCCCATGAATATCGATTTCGGGCACGTTCAGTCCCTGATGGGGTCGGTCTCAGGTTCACTCGGCGTGGCTGTTCCTAGGATCCTTATCCGATGACAAGATGTAGGTTCGCGGGGAAACATTGGTTCTCTTGGGCTAGAACAGAAGCATGTCGGTTTATCGTGAAGGCAGATCGTTTGAAATAGAGCCAAACTAACCAGCCCTCGGCTAACACCCACATGCTATTTGCAGCCCTGCACTGCCTACTCTGCTGCAATAGTAACAGCACATCACAGGGGTCTTACCCGGATTCTGTCTGAGTTATTCTTTTTCTGGTGTTCCCAGCCTCAACTGAAGAAACATTTTTGCTTATCAAAAAAAAAGTTTCACAATTACTGGTATTTGAAAGGTGCAATGATATTCAGACTCTATTTAAATGAAACCACTCGAAGATATTCATTCTCTAGTATTCTCTTAGAAATCTGGAATCAAAGCTGGTAAATTTGACGCACGAAAAAAGTAGTTTTAAAAACAATAACTGTTTCCATTTCGAAGCTACTGAAGGCTTACATCTAATCCTTAATCAGTAAATGTTACAAATATCTTATCAGTATATGAGCCAGAAGAAAACGCCAATAAAGAATATAGTATCTTGATGACATCGGCATTACGTCAGAATATCATTTATTGAATTATATAAAACTTCAGTAATTAATATTTACATAATAAGCCCCTGATCTTTACCTTAGAAATGCAACCAGTTGCACTGGTTTCTGAATTTTGAGTTATATTAACTGAATTCGCGTCCTTTTTTTTCTTCTCGAAGCTGGAACTCAATGCGTAACTTCGTCTTTCGGGAATCCGTCGCGAAGAACGCTGAAGGTTTTCCAGATTCCAACCCCCCCCCCAGTTATTAATCCTGAAGATGGGAACTGTAATATTTGCTGAAAGGCTGGAAAACTCTGGCATTCCAATCGACGTACTCCTGAAAGCCGAAGCTGGATTATGCTTGTCTTTAGTTCATGCACATTATATATATTATTTGTAGTCAGCTTTTGTCCTAGTGATGATCCTTTTTGCATAACATTCTCACCGAGTGCCAACAAACTGTAACTTTAATTGTATTTAAATCCTCAAATGAATGTTTCAAAACACTTCTAATACCGAGATTTCATATTCTCACGGCAGTGAGTGTGAAGACAAATACCTTTTTGGATACTATATCGTGTAGTTGGAAGTTTAGCGACGTTTACTGCCTCCATGTTCGAGTGGAATATTAAGCCAAGTGTGTAGGAAATATCTGCTTCTCGTTTGATTGTCTGTTTGTTCGGCGTAACCTTTGACCCTGAAAATGGAGGCAGTATTTATCTCTGAAACTTCGGGAAACATCTGCTAAACTACTCGTAGATAACATCACACCTTAAAAGACTGCACTCTTCTCTTTCAATATCATTAAATATATTCGTTAAAGGTTCACATAATTTTGGAATAACCTGAGAGTGTAGGCATAGTAATAAACTGTTATGAATATATTTACAGTTAGTCGGATTAAAGTGAATAATCATCATTATCATCATAATTCAAAAGTTGACATATAACCAAACACAAGCAAATTCGTGTAGGAAATTTTGAATACATTTGAGAATGCCTCGGCCCCATAATTACAAACGAAACGCCTTATCAAGTGGATAATGATGATAAGATAGCTTACTTACTTACTCATGGAGCTGAGCATTTCTGGAGGAGCCGCGAATGCTGCAGCTACTCAAGAATTTCCCAGCATTTTATGGAACCAAAAGGTTCATTACCGTGTTCACAAGAGCCCTCCACTAGTCCCTATCCTGAGCCAAAGTAATCCAATCCATACCATCCCATCCTATCTCTCTAAGATCCATTTTAATATTGTCCATCCACCTACGCCTTGGTCTTCCCAGTGGTCTCTTTCTTTCGGGCTTTCCCACCAATATCCTAGACGCATTCCTCGTCTCCCTTATTCGTGCTACACGCCCTGCCCACCTCATCCTCCTTGACTTTATCATTCTAATTATACTCGGGGAAGAGCACAAGTTATGAAGCTCGTCATTGTGCAGTATTCTCCAACCTCCTAGCTACCTCAGAAAATTGTATTCATTAAGTCCGAAAAAATTATATTATAATTAAAGAAGCTGCGTCCGTCATGACGCGATTTCAGGTTGCGAATTAGGAGAGGGTCAACAGATATGGAGGCTAATTGTGAATATAACGAATAAGCAGACCTCAACCTTCATCGGTGGGTTGCCATTTGCTTTCGAGAGTGGGAGTGTTGTTACCAACCCTAAACAACAAAATGTTTTGTGCTATAAAACTTTACAGCGATTTCGATGTTGGGCAGGCTGAATTAGCCGGCTTTTCATGAACATGAAAGCGGAACGAACTCCCGTAACGTTTTGCTTTGGCCCCAAATATTTTCGAATGATAATTTACACGACACAATTTTTCACTACGTTGCTCTTTCGACAAAAGCGTTCAGTAATGAATAACGGTTACATGACAATAATTTCATTTGTTCGCACGTTCTGATCAGAAGGCAGTTTGGCATATTTTCCGCCACTTGTCTGTTTACAGGTCTAATAATATTTCGCTTCCTGGAAGAAGTCTTCTGGTGTAATGATTCCCCAGCACATATAATTCAAATTTTCACAATATCCAACACCACATATTCATTTAAACAATAAAGTTGTCTCATCATTTTCCTTCCAGTACCTTCAACCTTCTCCAAATGAATTTATAATGAAAGCTGACATGAAATTGTAGGCGGGCTACAGGTTTATTAAAGCGTTTAAACCTCCGATTAAAATGTTTATTTTAACCCAAAATCAAAATATGGGATTTTATATTAATTTCTTTCATGATCAAGCAAAATGAGATGTCGAAACTTATGTTTTGTATATTACTTACATAAAAAGAAGAAGGAAAGTTTAGCAATTTTTTTTCTCTGCAGCAATATCGAGGGCAAGATTGGCTGAACCAGAGTTACTGTTTATCAAGTAAAGAATACGAATCGACCGCGCACGTCTTTCATCTGCAGATACGGAGCGTAGCCACAAGGACATCAATAGATTTCGGCCGGTGTTTCCTTTTCTTTTGGATCAAAGTCTCGAAGAAAATATTCTGTGCTGGGGGAAATCCATCCTAAAGAATCTAAATTAAAATCTCGTTCTATTCCATGATCCAAAGTACAGAAACATAAAGAAGGAAAGAAAGCACGAGAGAACATATGGGCGACATAAAAGTGCTTTTGTAACCATGTTAAACTGCAGTCCGCCCATTTTCAGCAACAAAAAAAAATACTTTATACATGTAACCTATTGGATCTGTTGGATCTAAGAGAAAAAAGGAAAATAAATTTATATAAAATTGTATTATGCGAACCTACATAGTTTATATTGTTCTTCAAATTTAATTATAGTTAGATAGCACGAATGGGAGAAATGAGAATTCCATAAAACATTTCAGTCGGAAAAGTTGATGGAAAGAGCCTATTCGGAAGATATATTCTTAAGGATAATAGGAAGAAGGGTTATAAGGTAACAGGATATGAGGGCGTATCACAGATTGAATAAGTTCAAGTCCTTTGTTAGAGCCATGTGAACATGTCAGTGAAATTTTGGCTTCCAAAAGAACGCCGCCGAATTTCTTGACTAGCTGAGCGATTCTCAGTTTCTCAAGAACGTTTCTGCTGTAACTTGATCCAGCGACGTTCTGCTCAGATATTCTCAGCTGACCCGTCCACAGCATTGTCAGTTTGGGCATTCAACTATGTAGTTATATGTTTTAACCTCCCATACCTTAAAATCCTCATCAGAATTCTTTGCTCCATTACGCAAGGAAGCAATGTGAGGTAGTGCAGTGCGATTAGGCAACACAAAAGTGAACTTCTCATGGGATTCTACCGAAGAGACCTTACAAGTAGAGGTAGAGGGTGCTAAAACCAATGTCAGACTTTGTAATAAGACGACATATTTACCTTCCTTTCCTTTCTTATTGTTTGTAGGAAGAAGAGTCCGGAATCTGGAGTCGAACGGAATTCTAACAGCAATAGAAGAGTTCACGAATGGTAAGAAAGATCTATTTTTTTTTAAATACACAATTGTTGTACATTTTGCACTTGATAGCTCAATTGTCACACTTACGAAAATTACTTGAATTCTACATGAAGAACATATAATTTTAATTGCCTGATCCCAATGTTTTCAGAGTCGACATGGTAATATATTACATTCAAGCTTTGTAAGCCATTATCGAAAATACCAATTATAGGTAGCTGAAATGATTTCTTCATCAACTGTATACCATGATCTGGACACAAATATTCGTATACATTCTTACACATATTTTTAAATATTTGGTGTGTGTGAATTCATAAAAGCTGCAAGGAAGGATATAACATTTAAGAAGTGTGACATAACGTTAAATATACTTCATAGCAAGTACTTTGCTGAATTGTACTTAGTTCCAAACCTACTCATATGCGTACGCTCTGTTATTACTACAGAACTTAAATATTGTGGCACTGATAAATACAGTGCGTACAATCAAGTGCGCGCCGCGCATCCGTTCTGCGGTGGTATGACTCACGGCAAATTGCAGCCGCGGCGCGCACTTGATTGTACGCACTGTATAATCCCAAAATCTGTTTCATTATTCCAGTAAAGATAAAAGGCAAAGTTCTCCCTATGCTTAACTAACTAAGCACTACGCCATTAAGGCGTATGGGGAAGTGGCGGTACAGATGCATATTTTCTTGATCTCCGCACAAGCTGGAGGTGAGTGGTCAGCTTCACGCCCCGGCTGCTTTACTCCACTCATCCTGTCCATTGGAGAGGAGGTTCAGTGACCCCAGAGCCGGTCTAGACGACGTAGAGAAGAAAAAAAGGTTTGACCATATCGGGATTCGAACTCCAACATCTCGGTCGTCCGGTTCGTTGCCAGTCGCCATACCGACTGCGCTATCCCGGCTCTCTTCATTAGTCCAGTGTTGGTAAAAAATTCCTCTTTCATAGTTAAGCAAGATCATAGGATTTTCATAAAATAGTTTTACAACAATAAAGATCTTTCGAAAAAGCCACCGAGAAAGATCTATTTCTGTGTCTGAGAACAGAGTAGAAGTAGTATGGCGTCAGATATGGGGTGATCGTTGCGTAGTGGCAAATTAACCCTTTAGATCACACTTCCTACTGTACTTTCCACCTGCTCAACATTAATGAAATCTGCATGTTCTACCGAAACGTTAGTAAATTTCTCCCACAGCATACGGCATCACAGCCCAGAAGACCAATTGTTGTAAATGTTAAATTTCATACGAAATGTCGTGGTTTACATTATTTTAAGTCTTCAGTGTTGTAATTTAGTTTAGATATATTGCTGTTAGATGGAAGTATTAGGTTCCAGTTCCACGGCTGTTACTACATTCCAGATACGAGCTAATATACACGTATATGTATTACCATACATTAAAGGGATATAGGAAATCAAACGTTGAATAGTTGTTAAACAGGGACAGCTACTTAAACATGAATGTACATTAAAATTAAAGTAATTTTCAGGCATCTGCCTGTTGTTATTAGAAGGAAGAAACCTATATAAAACGTAAAGAATTATAATTATTATTTGAATATCACAGGAATGTCCCTTACGTTCCTGTGAAATAAATAAGAAATGCATGCAAGATTTTTGAAGGACACTTCAGAAGAAATATGTGAGATAAACCCTAGTTGTGAAAATAATATTAAAGTGGGTCATAAATAAATAGGGCGTAAAAATGTAGAATGGATTCATGTGTTTTAGGATAGGGCCCATTGGCGGACTCGTATGAATAAAAAAATTAATTTGCGGGTCCCATAAAAGGTTAGGGATTCTTTGCCCATCTGAGCAGTTATCGGATTCCCGGGAAGAGTTCCCTTCATGAATGTAGTTACAGGCGTCATCTTCATGTATGCATTCACTGTTTGCCCCTAGCAGCACATTACGTAACTCAAAATTGGCGCTTTACTTTGCATTCTACACGTTGCTATTAATGTGTTTGTTTCAAATTGCCATGAAGTAATTCTAAGAAAAACGTTTGCATCAATATTCCGTATAATGGTCCCCTTGTTATGCACAAGGAGAGGGGGTTGGCAGATCATCTCAAATTTTAATGTGAGCACGAAAAGAGCTGAACGATTCCAATAGTTCCTCTTTCACCTTATGGAGGCTCCCTGAGGCGCCTTTATGCCTTGATCCAGTGCAGCAGTGATCTCTGACTCCAGACTAGAGGCAGGGCATCACTTAGACCCCCCCCCCCCCTTCGCCGAAACCAACGGCCTACTGGAGCAATGAATAAAAGATAGCCTCGTGCACTAAAACAAAGTATCGGGGACCCCTGATGTCTTCATCTGCGAACCCGAATTTTGATCGACTCAACAGTTTTTTTCTCCTCCTGAAACGTGGATACTCTTGGGGCAACAACGGGAAGAAACTTCTTTTCCAATTCAAATATTCTATCCGATCCCTCTCATCTTGTTCAGCATATTTCTCTCGTGCGCATTCACTAGGTACTGTTCTAATACAGTGATATTATATCCGTTGGATGCAAACCAGAAGAACTGCCTTATACAAACGCGGTAATAATATTCGTAAGGTTCAATTTCCAAGGCACAGTATACATGCATGAAACACCTGCAACGTTAATAGCATTACTCCAGTTGTTAAGGAGGCTGAAGCGCCTACTCTTCTTGTGGTATTCGGCTCTGTGGTCGCCCAGCCGGTTCTCGCTTTACATATAGACCTTCACGTGTCAATATAGCAGCACCTCATTGCTCTATTTCAAACTACAACTCCTCTACAGACTGTCATTCCATTTGTTAACTCCATGGAGATAAGTTTTCTCGTGAAACCACTTGTCGCTCAGCTACTTATGAATTTCTCTATATTTTATGGAGCCCGAAGGTTCATTTCCGTGTTCACAAGAGCCTTCCACTGTGCCCTACCTTGACGCAGGTCACTCCTCTTCATACCACCCCATCATATCCCTCTAATAACCATCTTATTAATTACTTCCACCTACGTCTTCCTCTTCCTAGTGGTCTCTTTCCTTCTGCTTTTCAAACTAACATCCTATAAACATTACTCTTCTCCCTCATTCATGCTACATGCCCTGCTCATCTCATTCACCTTGACTTGAATATTCTAATTATACTTCCGAAGACTGCAAGTTATGAAGCTCATCATTATGCAGTTTTCCTCAGTCTCCAACAATTTCATCTCTCATTGTTCCAGATATTCTCCTCAGCAACCTGTTCTCAAACAATCTCATGCTCTCCCTCCCTGAATGACAAAGACCAAGTTCCTCACTCTTAAAACACCACAGGCAAAATTACGATTTTGCATATTCTAATTTTAACGTTTTTAGTCTGAATTGGTAGCAAGCATTCTTCGGAATCAAACTGATTGTAATTCTTTCCTGAATCAATATCCGATTTGTTACTGTCGTGCCCCAGTATGCGAATCCCTTGGCATCCGGTTTGTTCCATGAATCCTTACTTCAGCATCTCCTGCCCATCTGCATTGGAGGGCTCTTAGGCACACAGCAAAGATTAATGAATTACGGTACCTAACACATTAGCATTTTCACACAAGGATATAAATATCCTTGGTCGGATAAAAAGGTATCATACACGTAGATGTTGTAGTAATAGTCGAAATGTTTCCTACAGAAGGTTAGAACTATTTTTATTGCTATTGGGGTGGGACTAAGTCCCTTGTACTGCGGCCACTTCTGGCCTACTGTACCAGCCCCAGATGATAGGTGAGGGTGATTGTGGAATAATTGGTGGAATGAAGATTGGCAGGGTAAACCGAAGTACTCGGAGAAAACCTGACACAGCGCCACTTTGTCCACCACAAACCTCGCTTGACCAGACCCGGGATCGAACCCGGGCAGCCGCGATGGGAAGCCAGCGACTAACCGCTTGAGCTATGGCGCGGCCGATGTTATCCTTGTGTTAAGAGAGGGAGCTTGCAAGAAGGTTCAGAAGTGCAGACAGTAGTAAGTTCATCTACATTTCTTTCAGTAACAATAACAGAGAAATTAAAGAATTTTCTTTAATTTCCTTCTGGAATATTTTCTTTATGCGTAGACCTATATTTTCCTTCTAGATTTGCCACTTAAGGAAAATGTACTGTAGGGAAAAGGAAACACCTATACTACCCAATACGCCACTTTCAGGGTCTGAGGTACCGATAATTTATGCTTACATTTATTGTTTAACACACATTCATAGGCGGATATGTATGATTTTGATAGGGTGAATAGATCTGCAACAGTGTTATAAAGCGTAAGGACTCGGCGGCCAACCACAACGTTTGGCCATGTTTAAAGCAAAACCTGCTGGTATGCAGAACTCATGTTTGCCTTGTGTAACAGATTCTGCCACTCAACATGAATGCACATTCTCCGGTTCAGGAGGATTTCGTGTTCCTAATTGCTTAATTTAATTGTTCTTTCCAGCTGAAAAAATTGTATAAATGAAGAGTTTTATCATCTGGTGTATAACACAGTTCATCTCATATAAGACAACCGATGCTTCGGAGAAATATATCGCCTTCATCTTCAGGGTTTAAGAATTAGCCAAGCAAGGAAGCAGTGCGTAGCAGGTAGAAAGTACAGCAATTGGCCTGTAACTCTGGTTATCCTAGTCCTGTCTCCTTCTGGAACGCTCGGTTGTGTGGGATATCTAATGGGAAGGGGCAAGTTATTCTTGTACTCCTGTTGATTCATTCCGTCCTATGGGCGAGCAAGCGGGAACTGACTTCTTGTCTTACTTTGTCCACTTCTTTCCTATAAACGGGAATTTCGATAAGCACATTGCTGTGCTTGCTACCTGCTTCACCCTGGTGTCTTGCCTCATTTATTCATTGACCATGAATATGGAGGCGAGATATTCCTCCGAAATGTCACTTTAATTTCAAGAAACTACACGCCATTATATCGCACCTCTGTGAGAACCTGAAATCCTATTACAAAGAAATATTGTGAAGGATCATTTTGAAAGATGTGGAAAGAGACGTTCATGGCCT